GTTAAGAGCACTGGCTGCTCTTCCAGAGGTCCCGAGTTCAATTCCCAGCACCCACATGGTGGCTCACAACCATCTGCAATGAGATATGTTGCCCTCTTCTGGCATGCAAGTATACATGGGGGACGACCACTGAATATATAATAAATAAATCTTTAAAAATAAATAAATAAAACTGTGCATCTCTCTGAAAGAACTACTTTAATAAGTAAAGATAAAGGTCCTAAGTGACATGATGGTGCAGTGTCACAGTACTGCCTTGAAAAGGTTGTATTTTCCTTTTAATGACGTATGAAATAGTAGTGCATTTATAATACAGCAGATCTTAGATCTATTTGTTCCCAAGTATGGGCGTGTCTACAGGACAGCACCAGATGGAATCTGTTGGGTCAGTGCCTGTGTGTATTTAAAACTTGGGTAGACAAGCTTAAGAGATGGCTCAGTGGTTATGAGCACTGGCTGTTCTACCAGAGGACCCGGGTTTGATTCCCAGCACCCACGTGGTAGCTCATGAACATCTGTAACTCCAGCTCCAGAGAATCTGATGCCTTCTTCTGGCCTCTGAAGGCCACACAAGTGTTATACAGACACACATGCAGGCAAAATACCCATTCAAATAAAATAATTTAATAACAAAACAAAACCAGAACTGTCTAGTCCATTTTCCCACACTCCCAACACCACCGGGTGTTACCAATCTCTCAATTTTTTTTTTTAATCATCCAATCAGCTCTCACCATTTCTTTATTTTGGCTTAATATACAGAAAAGGACCCTGTCTTAGTCAGGGTTTCTATTGCTGCGAAGAGACACCATGACCATAGCAACACTTACAAAGGAAAACATTTAATTGGGACTGGCTTGCAGTTCAGAGGTTTAGTCCATTATTGCCATGGTGGGAAGCATGGTGGCACATGGGCAGACATGCAGCTGGAAAGATAGCTGAGAGTTCTATATCTGGATCAACAGGCAGCAGGGAGAGAGAGAGAGGGAGGGAGGGAGGGAGGGAGGGAGGGAGGAACTTTTTAATTGCTCCTATCCTCCCAGCATTCTTTCGAAGTCGTCTCCAGCTCTAATAATGCCAGGCACACAGAAGATGATCAGTAAATATTTGCTGAATAAATGAAAGAACGAATGAAAGAGAGAACGGAATCAAATCAGATCATGAATGGGAAAGAGACGTAAAAGGCTGACACAGTCTCCAAGAGATTGTTAAATCAATTATCATCTCCACCACTCATTCTCCTCTCCTCTTAGCCCCCTCCTGCATTCGGAGATGGAATGCCTCCTCCCAACTTGGCTAATTTCATGCCGGGAAGGCGGGGCTCTCTCAGGTGCCCGAATCCCTGGCACCTGCGCCTGTCCAGGTACCCTGGTCAGTTCATCAACTAGGGCAGGGAGGATGAAGGGATAGGGGCCCAGCAGGCCGCCTGGGAGGGTCGTGGGAGGAGCTCCGAGAGAACAGGGCTGGGTGGGGTGGGGGAGGATGACCACGGCGAACCCCAGTGGGGCGGGGCGGGCCCGAGCGTCCCAGCTGGGCTGCAGCGGAGCGCGCCGGGCCAGCTCTCTACAGAAGGCGGCGGCGGCAGGCTGGTTGGCCCGGATGATCACATCCCGCTGCAGGGGGCCAGTTTTGGTCACCGCTCTGTCCTCTGCACCGGGGACGCAGGCCCGCTGCCAGGCCTCCCCAGCAAAGCCCCCTGCTCAGGGACAGAGGTCGTGCGGCCCTTGGGAACGCTGCCCCCCGCCCCGCAGACCCGCTGGGGTAGGACCAGCGCCACTTCGGCGATGGGCCGCCCCTGGGCACCGAACAGCCCCTGAGGCCTGACAGACCACGAGGACTGCGAGGGTGGGGCTGGGGTGGGCACCAGGGTTATGCGGAGGCGGGAAATGGGCTGTGGGCAGCCTGGGAGAGCTGCTGCATCCCACTTGCGTTCTGGGCAGCTCCTGACGCCCTCAACTCGTGCTCCCTCCAGGCCCCTCGGCAAACTCGTGGAAACCTTGGCTTCTTTGATGCCCCTTTCCCCATATCTGAGTCCCACGGTCCTCCTGCTGGTCAGCTGTGACCTGGGCTTTGTGCGAGCAGGTGAGTGAAGAGGACGCCCGCAGTGGGGGTCCGTCAGAGCTAGTGTGGAGGTGAAACCTCTTAACCTGTCAACACCCTGACACCCCCCCCCCAGACCGACCTCCCTCTCCTGTGAATGTGACGGTCACTCACCTCAGAGCCAACTCGGCCACTGTGTCCTGGGACGTCCCAGAAGGCAACATCGTCATTGGCTACTCCATTTCCCAGCAAGTATGAATCACCCTGTTCCCCCAACCTGTGCCCTTGGATCTCTGAACATCCCTCCAGTCACCTCCACACTACTCCTTGGGAGGGCTTGGATGTTACGAAGTCCCCGAGTTCAGCCTGATGGTCAGGGACTGGGGCTAGGTTGCTCTCCTTTCCCTTCATCTCCTTGCAGCGGCAGAATGGCCCTGGGCAGCGTGTGATCAGGGAGGTGAACACCACCACCAGGGCCTGCGCTCTGTGGGGCCTGGCTGAAGACAGTGACTACACGGTGCAGGTCAGGAGCATCGGCCTCCGGGGAGAGAGTCCCCCTGGGCCCCGGGTGCACTTCCGGACTCTCAAGGGTTCTGACAGGCTGCCCTCCAACAGCTCCAGCCCAGGTGAGAGCCTGTGTTAGTAGATTCGGCTTTTTACCTGGCTTTTAACCTCTGGTTTACTTGCTCACAGTCTAGCTCAGATGCCTAGAATGATTTAATTCTTTCCACTGCCAGGGAAGGGAAGAAAAACAGGTGGGCAGGGGACCAGCTATAGAGACGCTGCTAATGAATCCTTTCGGGGGGCGGGGGGGGGGGGAAGGGCTTTTAAAAAGCTTCCTTTCATCCAAACTCAAATCGCATCCGCCACAGCCTGCACCGAGCAAGTTCTGTGATCACCCTTTGATGTCCAAACACTGCCCACCAAGGGCTTCTTCCTGAGAGGGCCCACCCCACAACTCCAGGTTCAGTGTGAGATGGATCCCGCTGACTCCAACCCTCAACGTCTCCCTTCTGTATGTAACAGGGCCCTCCAGGGGGTCCTTTGTAACCCGGGGCACGGCTCTCTTCTTAGGTGACATTACGGTGGAGGGTCTGGATGGAGAGCGGCCACTGCAGACGGGGGAAGTGGTCATCATTGTGGTAGTGTTGCTCATGTGGGCTGGTGAGTCCTGGATGGGGAACCGGGGACTTGGGTCTGTGACGGTGGGAAGTGGTGAAGGTTGTCTGTCTTTCAGGAGAAAAGGGAGAGAAAGGGAGTGGGGGGAGGGCCGGCGGTGGGAGGTAATCAGGACAGGTTCGCAAGGCCAGGGTTGCACAGGCACCAGGGATTGAAGGATTTTCTAGGAGTTGTGTGACTACCTCTGGCCCCTCCAGGCTGTGAATGGAGAGGTCAAGACCCCGCAACGGCTCAGACGGTCTTGTTGTGTTTCAGCTGTGATTGGGCTGTTCTGCCGTCAGTACGACATCATCAAGGACAACGACTCCAACAACAACCCCAAGGAGAAGGGGAAGGGGCCCGAACAGAGTCCTCAGGGAAGGCCAGTGGGAACAAGACAGGTGATGTGGGGAGCCAGTGGGGGTGAGAAGAGTGATCTGGGGGCCAAGGAGTACTCAGTGAAGGGCAGAACAGGCAGAAGAGAGGGGTGGGGTGGGAAAGGAATGTCTGGGAGGGAGGAGTCCAGAAGGCAGGTGTGGCACCTTTCCTTTTCTGGAATTCGAGATTTTGGGTGATTTTCTTTCACAGAAAAAGTCTCCATCCATCAACACCATCGACGTTTGAGTGAACTGGGTGAACGAAGAACCAGAACCAGAAGAGAGATGCACTAATAATGTGGGGGGTGGGGGTGGGGGGGTCAGGGAAAGCCTAAGACGGTGATCTGCTTGAGACTCCCACAAGGCAAAGCACTCCCAGAATCCCTGGCTGGTACCCATCCTCTTTCTACTGTGAGCAGGGCCAGAAGGTAGGTCTGTTAGAATCTGTACCCCTGGACCTGGGAGTGGATATCAATGAAACATCTTCTATCCCCCAGGTCCAGGGGAGGAGAGTCATTTATTCAACCCTATCCCACTAGGTCCCAAATAGGGGCCCATCTCACGTGCATCAGGACTCTTGGCATCCACTAGCTGCCCCTACAGCCTGCCTCTGGGCCTGAGCGAGGGGTGTTTCTGTCTGTATTGCCCTCCTCCAGGGAGGAAGAGGAACCATCTGGGCCTAGAGGCAGATGTCCACACTGTACTACTCCAATGTCTTCCACGGAGCCTCAGGTGCTCCCCCTCACCCGGCAGCCCCTCCAGCTGCGGGTGATCTCACCCCTGGGACATTTTTCCAATAAAGGTTCTTGGACAAACTGGAACTGGCTGTAGGGTATACTGTATGGTATGCTGAAGACGTCTCTACACCCTGTCCGCTCTCCAAGGGCCCCTCACGCCACCACCAACTTAAGGAACAGACTCATAAGATGTTTGTCTCAGTGTTTCCGCCTAAGATGGGCAGAGAAAAGACGAGGAGGAGAGGGGACAGAAAGCTAGAAGTCTCCTTCCTTTGGCTCTGTCGAACGGGGGAAGGCGATGAGAAGACACGGACGTTTTTGCACCAGTGGAAACCAGGCCATGTCACATAAAAGGGCCAGTAGAGATTTTTTTTTAAATCTTTGTCCAGGACCTTGTGCGTACTAAGCAAATGCTCTACCACCGAGTTATATAACTAACCCCCTCCCCATTCTTTATATCCCACCGTTCACTCTGGGAAGATGGTCAGAAGGACGGAGCAGTGTCTTGGGGGGGCTAACGAGAGCAGCTACCACGGACTGTCCTTTGGTGCCATGTACTCTCACCCTGTGCACACCAGTGCCTCTTTGTTTTCTCTTTCATCTGTGTCTCTGTTCACTCAAACTTAATAATAATTGTAATCCATAAAGGAGTTTATATTTATACTCTGTAACATATCCAGAGGATTCTAGAAATAAAAACAAAGGGGTTTGGATGCCCCTATGGAAAAAAAAATAAAATCTGGGTTCTGGGACCTATTTGTGTTACCTGTGAAAAATTTTGGCAACTGCCCTCTACCAGTTCTTAATTTTTCCAGCGGGAGGTAGTGATGGAGAGAGAAATATTCGTTGCCGTTGGCAACCGCTGTGCATGCAAGGCTTTGGGACCCAGCTTTCTGTCTGGAAAGCACATGCTATGCTTTTAGGGGGATATAGGTCTTGCCAACCTGGGACCGTTTAGAGAAGGCCCACGGGTAGTTCCTTTTCTGCATGTCATTCGCTCTCTCTGATACGTCCCAAGAAATTAGAAGGAAAATTCTTGAAAGGATCCCAGTCAAACAAAATAAAGAGGATAGTATCTTTTCTTAACCAATCCTCAACCCCTAGCTCTAAGCTAGGAGGTCAGCCAAGCTGTCTGTCCCCTGCACTGACCCATAAAGACACCTGGATTTCAGTAAGCAGCCGTGAATTCACCGTTTACCCATTGACCACACAAGGTGCCTTGCCTTTCCTCCCTAGCCAGTGCTTCCAACACAGCCCTCAAACCCCGGATCATTTCCGGAGACTGTCTTACAGGGTCGAGAAGCTGAACACAGGGCAATGGGTTAAGAAGACTTGAATCGTCTTACGGGAATGAGAAGGTTATCGGCTCTGGGTTGAATCCCGGTTCCACCGTTTACTAGCTGTTTTAACTTCGGCCCGTGACCGGTCCTGTTGTGTAAAACGGGACTGTCCCTCTGCCCACCTCAAAGAGGTATCTCCTTTAGCATTCACTGTTACCCATCGGCACTGAGTGTGGCCCCGGGCAAGTCACAGAACTTTTGGCGGGGGCGGGCGGAGGTTGCAGTTCCGCGAATTGGCTTTCGCCTCTCGCAGCACCCGCTTTGCTCTGCTCCCGAGTTCAAGCCGCTAGAAGCGCACTTGGCTGGATGCAGCGGTGAGAAACACCAGGGTTAAAGCGATGCCGGAGCAGGGGGCGGGGAGAGGAAGACTTGTGGGTGGGGCTTTGCCTGGGGTTTGCATGCCGTTACGGGATTGGTCGAGGAGAGGCCGCGACCACCCCACCCCCTCCTGTGGCCCCGCCCTAGGACTCGCCGCGCTTGCGCACGTGCCCGCTCGGCGCCGTCGCGAAACCGCGACGTGACCTCAGGACGTGCGTCGCGCCACGTCGCCTGTGCGTCAGCGGCCCGCGCCGCCGCTGCCGCCGCCGCCGCTTGGCGGGTTGTCCGGGTAACCGCGGGAGTTGTCTCGGTCAGCGAGGCTCCGAGAGCCGTGTGCGTCATGCAGTTGAAGCACCTGAGGACCCTGCTGAGCCCTCAGGTGAGGAATCGCGTGCTTCTCCCCCGCCCCGGCCGCCGGGCGTTCCAAAAAAAAAAAACAAGTGGGGGAGCAGAAGTTTATGCGGAGTGCCTACTGTGTGCAGGAGGTTGCAAAAGCGCTTCCAGTAGGCGACGGGCATCGCTCAAGACCTTCACTGCATCACGTACATGAATTGAGTGTCAGGCCCCAAGCTTAGGCTCTAAGGGATGGGGTTGCGTCACAGGCAATGAGGGAGAGGCGCACATACAGGCAACGATCCTAAGTCTGCACGGGATGAAGTGAGCGCAAGGCTGAACCTTCGTTTGGATTGTGAAAGTGTATCTCAGATTCAGGAGAGGCTGGGCACTAGGGGAGGAGCCCAGGAACATAAAGGAAGTCCAGGTTTGGCAGTGAAGGGAACCGAGTTCAGGTCTAGCGCTGGTTTGTCCAAATGGTATCCTCTGGCTTTAAGCCTCATCTCACCTGGTCTTTCTATCACTAGCTTCTTCGTTTGGGAAAGAAAAGCCGTCGTGAGAGCAACTCTAAGAGACTTAGGAGAGAGTTAAATGACGTTACACACACACACACACACACACACACACACATGCACACACGCACACGCACGCACATGCACACACACATACACATGCACACACGCACGCGCACACGCACGCACCATTAGCTGGTTTGGTGGCGCTGAAGGCCAGAAATCCCAGCAGCTGGGAAGTGGAGGCAGGAGGATCAGGAGTGCAAGGTCATCCTGGGCAACATAGAGAGTTTAAGGCCAACCTGGGCTGCGTGAGACTCTTTATCTTGAAAAAAGAAAAAAACAATAATTGGGCCAGTGAGATGGCTCAGTGGATAAAGGCACTTACCACTCAGCCTGACTGCCTGAGTTTGATCCCTGAGACCCACACGGTGGAAAGAACCAACTCATGCAAGTCGTCCACTGACAGCCACACATGCACCCCACCACACGCACCCCACCACCACCCACAACAAATAAATGTAAGGAAAAAAAGGTTTTTAACTTTCTCTTTTTTTATTGACTCTTTGTGTCTTTCACATCATGGATCCCGATCACACCCATCTCCTGTCCCCTCACATCCGCCCTCTACCCTGCAACCTAACCCCCCCGCCCAAATAAAACAAGATAAAATGTCAGGTAAAAAAGGAGAAAAAGAAAAAGGAAGAAAGGGAAAATCTTGTCATGGAAGCTGCAGTGTGACACAGTGAGTCACGCAGTAAACCCCTTCGTCCATACATCTTGTCGTACGGGCGTTCATCGCAAAGAATCGTTAGTCTGGTTCGAGGCCCCTGGTCTCTGCTACACTGTCGGCACCAGGTCCTCACTGGGGCTCTTCCTGGGCATCCCCTTGCCGCCCTGTGGGGAGAGATGTAAGGAAAAAGTTTTAGAGAGCATTGTAAACTGAAAAGCTGTGTGGAGACTGATGGACCACAGGGAAAGGCGTCAAAACGGAAAAGACAGGCTAACGCTGCAAAATAAGGCTGGCTGTGGGGGAGATAGCTCTTCATAAGCAGGAGACACTGAGTTCAGATCTCCAGCATCCGCTTGAAGGCCAGGCACACCTGTAATCTCAGTTCCGGGGAGGCAGAGTCAGGTGGGTCCCGAGAGCTCATTGACCAGCCAGCCTAGCCAGATTTATGAGCTCCAGGTTCCGTGAGAGACCCTGTCTCAAAAAATAAGGTGGGGTGCAGTTAAGGAAGACACTTGATCCTGCCCTCTGGCCTCTACGTGCACACACAGACAGGCACATAGAACCCCCAACATCCACACACCTACATACGGAAAGGGTACGCTATTTGCAGAGGATGTTGCGTAGTGGTAGACCATATGCTTGGCATGTGTGAGACCCTGCATTCGTCCCTAGCCCTACGAAAGGAAATCCCTTACCTGATGGTGGTGCCCTTTGCCTGTAATCTCAGAATTTGTGAGGCTGAGGCCAGAAGGAGGCTTGATGTGTACTCAAAGCCAGCCTGACTACATAGCAAGACCGTCTTTTTAAAAACTAAGAATAATGTGAGGCTTTTAGAGTCTCCTTGAGAAGTCAGGTGTGGTCCTGCCTCAACTTGATGTAGTCCACGCTTTGTTGACGCCCATGGGAGGCCTGCCCCTTTCTGAACAGAAACAGGAGCAGAGGATGGGGGGTGGGGGTAGGGAAGTAGGAGGAGGGGATAGGAGAAGGGGGGGTGGGGAAACTGCAGTCAGGATGTAAAGTAAATGAATTTAATTAATAAAAATGTTAAAAAAAAAAAAAAAAAAAAAAAAAGAATAGCCAGGCATGATGCCTCATGCCTTGAGGCAGGCAGATCTCTGTGAGTTCAATCCCAGTGTGGTCTCACAAATTGAGTTCCAGGAGTACATAGAGAGCCCATGTCTCAAATAATAATAATAATAATAATAATAATAATAATAATAATGATAATGATAATGATAATGACAACAATAAATAAAAGCATATGGTAGAATTAAGTTATTGATACATATACCACAACAGCATAATTAAAGACATTACAGTTATAGCTTTTGGAATCAAGCATACATGGATTCACATATTCCATCTGTCATCAAAAAACTGTATATGTAATTTACTTTTTTAAATTTTCAGTGCCTCAGTTTCCCCATATGTAAAATGGGAATAATAATAGCTTCTACCTCAGAGATATGAGGTCAGGTCCTTACTGGGTAACAAGCACTTATGGCAATGTCTGTCCCACTTCCTGTTCCACTCAGCTGTCAAGACAGACAGGCACTCATTGCAGAGAAAGGAGAATCCATGGATTATGGGACTCGGGGATCTTTGCAGGGTGTGTGGAGAGTAGAAGTCAATTAGAAGGAAGGAGAGTTGTAGGGCATGGAGCCCTGGCTCCGGGGTGGAACAATAAAAAGTTGTACTCCTTGCTCGGTTAACTGGTGCTGTCATCCGTAATTTCAAAATACCCTAATGGAAAAATTGGAACTAGAACCCCTTGGTCCCTAAAAAAAGATGATGTCATGGTGCAGCTGGGCCAGATGCCCAGGATGGACTCAGCCATGAAGGAGGGTGATCGGCCAAAGTTGGTGAAGCGCCTGCACCCCCTTCTAGCCTACGGTCGTGAGCGGTTGGATCATGACCGTGGTGATGGTGCGGCTGGCTGTTTGTCGGGCTGTGGTTTGAGGATTTTGGTGCAGTGACCCCTTCCCCTTCTGGCTCTGGAAGCCTTTGGGTTAGATGTAGGAAGTAGAAGTGTTTTAAGCCAGACCTCCAGTAGCCCCAAATGGTTAATCGAACATTTGGAGCAGGAGCTAAATTTTATCTCAGGAACAAAACCCTTTAGTGGTAGAGCCTTAGAGGACCACAGCTGGTACGTGAGGGACAAGCAGGAAGAATAATTCACTGTGGATGATCACTTATTTTCTTTTTATTTATTTAATTTTTATTTATTTATTTATTTATTTATTTATTTATTTATTTATTTATTTATTTGGTTTTTCGAGACAGGGTTTCTCAGTGTAGTTTTGTGCCTTTCCTGGAACTCACTTTGTAAACCAGGCTGGCCTCGAACTCACAAAGATCTGCCTGCCTCTGCCTCCCGAGTGCTGGGATTAAAGGCGTGCACCACCACCGCCCGGTTCTTGTTTTTACTTTGTTTTTAAGGACAACATCTCATATAGCCCGGCTGGCTTCAAACTTGCTGTGTAGCTGAGGAGGATTTTGAACATCTGATCCTCCTGCCTCTACCTCCCAGGCCTGGGCCGCCATACCTGTCATTCCCACATTCCTTTCATTTCTTTTTTTTTTTTTT